AACTGGAAAATTTTGTGGAAAAGTGATGGAGCTGCTAACTCAACATCTATAGCTTCACTGAGCAGTGGAGAATGGGGAAGCACAAAGCATTTACAGGCCAGGGTCATCCTCTTCACAATTAAATCATGCAGGCTGGTATCTAAGTATAGGCCTGATGAGGCCAATATTTGGCAGCTTTTGAATACACTTAAGGCAGATTACTTCTCCCTTTGGTTTTGCTTGCTCTCCAACCCCTGTAACTAAGGTACTGCCTCCTTGAAGCTAGAGCACAAGAATACATTAAGAAAGAATAAAAATTTGAATTCCTCCAACTTATGCCCCCTTGCCTGTGAAACTTCAGTACATGGAAGCTCCTTTCACCAAAGGAGCGGGCACTCCTCACTCCCAGCACAAGGTCCACTAGTGGAGTGTAGAGTTGGGTATAAACACTGACGGCAGAACTGGATTTGAGCCCTCGCTCTGCAGTTTACCAGCTCTTTGGATAATTTAATTTACTTTAATGAGCTCCAGCTTCCTTAATAATAATTTCTGCCTCATAAAGCTATTGTGAATTAATAATGTATGTAACATGCCAGTGCATTGTAGGCATTCAATCACCAATAGGTATTGTGCATTAAATAAAAATACATTAAATACATGTGTATAAAAATAAAAAACCATTAATAAAAATGTTTTTATTAATTAAAAACTCACTCTTACTTCATTGACAACTTTGCAAATAAGATTCAAATGCTCTGAAGAAACATTTTGACTGCTTGTAGAACTAGTGGATATATCTTATTTGAATAGTCAGTGTTGGCTGAGAGAATGGGATTTCTTAGGCCTCTACGTAACTCGGGTTCTTTGATTTCACTGAAGGGATTAAAACAGCTTGCACTGGTGCCAACAAAAAAGCCACAGGATCCTAACTTCAGTGTCAAGGTGGCAGGGTCTGATAAAGCCTACAAAAGTGAATGAGATGGAAAGACCAGAGCAGCCTCCTGCCTTCATGGGTAGTCATTTAACTAGGAGGGCATCACACATATAAGTGAAAAGACAATAGAAAACAAGAATTAATAGATGGGGAAAGGAATCTGTGATTACAGCCAAAAGTGTGAGAATTAGTTTTATTATTCATGATCATCTTGGCATCATCATCTTTCATTAGGTGTTTGGAGAACTCTTTCTCAAATGTTTGCTTCCCTTTGATGAATGAGAAAGAAGAGTTTTGATCAATCCTCTTTTGTTTCTCCAGCTTGTCAGGATTGTGAAAGGACAGAGTATGTTGTCCCATTGTTCCCCTGTATTTACTCTCCCACACAGCCTGTGTTGAAACATGAGAAGGGACAGTGCTCGACAAATTGTACCAACAGGATGAGTTGAGACTGACTCTGCCTTAGAGATGTTTACTAAACTGTTAGTGCATCTCACTAAGCTCCAGATTCTTTCCCTATCCGTTTGCTTATTTATTTGGTAACTTATTTATCTTCCCATTTGGGAGGGAATCATTGTGTAGTCCCAATCCTAAAGATATGGTCTTCGTGTTTGATGGCTGACACAAGAAACACGATGCTGGGAGTAAGTGCCTGTTAGTTACTGATGGGCATGGTCTCCCTGTGTTGCTCCAGCAGTTTTTTTTATTTTTTTGCCTTAGTTCTCCCTCTGATTTTTTTTTAAATTTTCAGTTACTTGCTTTCAACATTAGAAAGTATATTCTAAAGAGTAGAGATCAGAGTAATAATAGAATATTTGAAAAAAAAAGATGCAATACAGTGGTATTAATAAGATTAATGGTAGCTTACAGTTAAGGAGGGCCAGGGGTTATGTTTTAAGTTTTGTGGGTATTACTTATATTCCTCTCTCTCTTCCCTACCCCTCCTTTTTTTCTCCCCCCTCACTCTCTCCCTCTTACACACACACACACACACTCACAAATTCACAGACTCCATACCTATAAGAAAATTTCACAGATGAGGAGCTGAGTCTCAGACAGCTAAGACCTGCCTAAGATCAAACAGCCAGAACACGATGGATCCAGGAAGGGGGACTTTCAATGTCCTTTACACTGTAGTTCACAGGGACCCACTGAAGGACTCTGATACTACCTTAAAGGGAGGGACCTTGTCTTATTCATCTTTGTACCCTGCTTCTAGCACAGAACAGAATGGAATGAGGGGGTGACATAACTAGTACTTTATTTTAGGAAGATAAATCTGGCAGAGATGAGTGGGATGAAAAGAACAGGAAAACACTGGTGGCATGGAGAGCTTAGATGTTACTGAAGTAATACAGAGAGAAAGCAAATGAGATTATTAATGAGGGAGCTGCACTGAGCAAAGAAGCGAAGCCATAAACATGGGAGAGATTTAGAAAGAGTGAGTCCCTGGGACTTGACTGTGTGCAGGCAGTGAGGGGTGCCAGCTCCTTAGGTAAATATCCATTCATGTAGCAACTACTTCTTGAGCTTCATCTCTGTGCCAGGAACTAGTCTAGATGCTGGGGATACAACAGTGAGTTGGGCAAACAGGGATTTTGCTCTCCTGGAGTTTATATTCTCATCACAAGGTATATCAGTTGGGATGATCCAGAGACAGGATCCCACTACATCCCCCTCTATTTTTATAACGTATATTATATAAATCTATATCTATATACACACATACTTTTTATGTTTTTAATATTTGTGTATTTTATTTATTTATTTGAGAGCATTTTCGAGGCATTGATTTTTCACAGAATTGGTTTATGTGAGTGTAGGGGCTGGCAAATCTGGAATGTGGCGGGCAGGCCTACAGGCTGGGAACTCTTGAGCAGAGGCCGGTGCTGTTGCCTTGAGACAGAATTTCTTCGTTCTCAGGGAAACTTCTGTTGTGTTCTTAAGGCATTTCAACTGATGGGAAAAGGCCTCCCAGATTATTTAGGATAATTGCCTTAATTTAAAGTCAATGGATTGTAGATATTAACGACATCTGTAAGATACTCCTAGGTTAGTGTTTGACGGGGTAACTGGCTGCTGTAGCCAAGCCGAGTAGACACACAAACCAGCCATCGCAGAGGAGAGGTAAGAATGCCCGGTGCAGGGAGAGGAATACCTCAGGGTGTTCCAGAGTCACTCTCCTCTTCAGTGGATTGCAGACTCAGGGAAGCCTTCTACCTAAGGAGGTATATCTCCATCTTGCAGGTGAGGCACATGCCATTTGAGGGTACCAAGTGACTCGTGTGAGCTAGAGCAGCTAATGACTAGCCCTGCTGTCATTCTGACTCCAGGGCAGATGGAGGGAACACAAGAGAGGCTGACTCTCAAGAATGGTCAAAGGAACCAGAATGTTTGACATTTTTCCTGAAGGAACACCAGCTGGTGAGCAAGCTCAGACAAGGAACTTGTTCCCTGAGTGTAGAGCCTGAACACAGAGAGGTCCTTACTGCTTCAGGAGGGCAGGGGTTGGCTCCGTACCCGTTCAGCCCCTCCCTCACACTGCGGCCCTGACACCCTCCTCCTGCCAGTGCCCAGCTCAGGCCTTTTGTACAGGCTGGTCATTCTGCATAGGGTGCCCTCTTCCCCCATCTGCTTCACGTGGGTGAGGTCTGTGTAGCCTGCAGGTGTTCGCTTTCCATCTTCCTTGGGGAAACTGTCCCTGAGAACCTGCACTAGGGTAAATCTTCCAGCCATGTGCCTCCCCAACCTCCTTGTGCTTCTGATGTGACTCTTTGCACTATTATCATTAAGTTGTTTAGCTATACTATTTTATTAATGTCTGCCTCTCCTGTTCTCCTGCCTAAGGGAAGGAGCCAAATCACTGTGGTGCTGATTACCAGTGTTAAGCACAACTCTTGGCAGTACTACTTGGATAAAGGAATGAATGAATACAATACACATCTCCCAAGCAGTGCATCTGCAGGCACTCTAAGCAGTGATCTGGGGACATGGTGAGACAGTCAGGTGGTTGCACTCTTTCTGATCCCCAGGATGAGCATATCCTGTGCACAGTGAATCCCATCCTTGATGCATGAGTTCTTCTCAATTTCAGTCTTAAAGTTCTTGCACCCTTCTCTAATTTGGGGGTCCTTTTTAAGCATTTGAGCCTAAGCCCTCCAACACAGAAAAACTGTTAGAACAAAAGAAGCTGAGAGCAGAAGTATTCCAAGAATAGCGCATCACTGAGGAGAGAGAGTCAGGCCTGGACAGAATGTTCTAAGGAAGCCCTCCGACTTAAGACAGACAATTCTCTCTCTGATTGCCACAGACGGGAAGTTCTGACTGCTTCTGCCTATGGCCTAGAATCTTGTGAGTGAGAAAAGAAGCTTCTGGCTCAAGCAGCCCCTGATAACTGTGAGTGAGCTCTTGAGAGCCAAGCTGAGAAAAAGTTCAATTAGGAGGCTCCCTGCACCTCCTGAAGCCCCCTTATCCTGCCTCTCAGGTGAAGACTCACAAAGACTGGCAAAGAAACATGGCAATATAGAGTTGAGCGCATCAGCCATACAAACACTAAAGGTTACATTACCTTTCACTCTGGCTTCTGATTTGACATTTGACAGCATTTCTTTAAAATGTCATTTTGTTGTTAGGCTCTCTCCTGTCCTTTTGTGTTAGACCCCAAAATTAATGGAAATGAGCCTTTATATTGAAGTTGTCTTCTGACGGTGGGAAAAGAAACTTTGGATTTTTGCAAGTAGCATCTACTGAGTTATTCTGAAAGGTCTGTGTAAGTTTCCCCATTTGCATTCTTTCCATTCAACATTCTTCCTGTTGAGAAAGAGAAACAGTCTCTGTTTCTACATTCTCTACATTTTCTGAAACCTGGAAGAATCAATTGTGAATCATACAGGATACTCCTAGGATCCAGACAAAATTTGACTGTATCACCAAGGCTGGAACAGGGAGCACTTTGGCCCAGGAGCTAGATGGAGGTTCAAGTCTTGGCTCTGCCAATGAGCAGTAGAGTGACCCTGGACGAGTCTCTGGGCTGTAGTAGACTAGGTGGTCTCTGCAGTTACCGTGCCACTCTAAGATGTATGGTTCTCATTGCAGGCATCTTTTCCACAAGTCCTGTGTTGACCCCTGGCTTCTAGACCATCGCACCTGTCCCATGTGCAAGATGAACATTCTTAAAGCCCTAGGGATCCCGGTAAGCACAGCACAGCCTACAGCGTTGTCATGTCTGTCTGTCTGCAGTACCTGCAATGCAGGGAGAAAACATCAGACCTGGACTTTCTTTGTGCTCTTGACCCCATTGCAGTGGTGTTGCTGGAGAAGGCTGCAAGAGAACACCCATATCTGAAGACAGTTTTCCTCCCACTTTTTCTCAGTTATAATATCACGCCCCTCTCACCAAATTCCTTATATCTGCCTATGAACCAAGATGCAGCTTGAAGGCTTCTCCTCTGGGTCACAGCATGTGAGTGCAGGCAGGAGGCCTGCAGAGGCTGGTGGGGCCACTTGCACATACCTCTTGGGTCGCCACACCTGTACCATCACCAAGGCCATCTGTGTGTCACACTTTCTGATGCTGCCCCACAGTCACCCAGCTCTCAAAGGAAAGGGGCTCTGGGATTGGTGGGGACAACAGTGCTGGGAGTCTGGCCAGAGTCTCTGTGAACTCAGATCTCTGTAGAGACTAGGAGAGAACAGGAAGTAGCCAGAGCCATTCATTCTGGCTTACCACCAAGCTGGCGCCTTAAAGTAGTATGGTTTATACAGTTTAGTCTCTCCCCCAGTGCAAAAAGAACCCCATCAGCTGGCTGGCCTGACACTCCTGGGACAGACTTCTCAGGGCTTCCTCAAGGGAAGCCCACAAACCAGTGGTTGGTGCAACACCAGCTGCCGTGGTAAGGGCAGGAAGTAAGCCAGGCCACCAAATCCGAGCACTGCACAGCGAGATGTGAGAGGAACACAGACACCATCTAAAAGAGGCCAGACAAGCAGGATACAGGGACCAGCCTCCCCACCCTGTGCCCCTGCACTTGACTGCTACCTCCCTGTTATGGCTTCTCACTCTAATGGCAGAGAACAAAGAGATTGTTAATAGTCTCAAGATGTCACTGAAGAAGGAAGGATCAGATCAGATATCAAAGGTTTTCTTTAATGCCAAAGAGCTAATCACTCTTGGGATATCAGAGTGACTCTACAGCATTAGGAGGTCACACACTGGTGGAATTTTCTACCCTGGACCAGCTACCTCCACGCCAGCTGTGTGCTGATTTTCACGGTATATCCACCAAACACAAACCACCTTGGATGACTATAGCTTTGAACTAGATCTTGAAAGGCAGTGCATTAGGTTTTCAGACTAGAGTTGTAAGCACATAATGCATTAAAGGTGAAAGTCAATTACAGTGAACATGGAACATTAGTTAAGAACTCAATATGTGTACCAGATACTGGTGACTGAGAAAATCTAACTCAGTGTTTGTACTTTTCACATTTCTGGCTGTAACTGGTTCTTATAAAGGAGAGGGGAAATGTGTATATGTGTGTGCTTTCATGGGTATATGTCTTTGGCCTCCAAAATCTTTAGGACCCCCACAATTAAAGGCAGACAGTCATGTCATTTGCTCTAGTGCCTATTGATCAAGATGCTTTCTAAGCCCCTGACTCAATCCCCCTGCTCCCTCTCAGGACAATAAAACCAAACCACCCTCAGTAGTTAAATTTTGTATGAATTAGCATTTGGCTCCCAACTTTTCTTGGGAAGGCATATGTAACTTCCCCAGAAGCAATTGTGAGTGAATTAAGAGTACAGCTACTAACTGTTTTTAAAATAGAAAGATTGGGTGGCCATTAGGCTTATTTCCAAAATTAATAACATTCTCACTTTTAGCACTTGGACGTTTTGGTTGTAGTTTGAAACCTACCAAGTCTGGACAGGATTTTTCTTAGCACACTCAGCTTCCAGAAAAATAAATGTTGATAGCATCTTTTGGATTTTCCAAGGATTCATAAAGGCCAGCCAAACCTGAACATGTCTCACATCCAAGCTCACCCCAGAGAATAAAACACCATCCCTGGAGAAGGCAGCATGCTCACTGTGCTGCTTCTCACGAAGCACCAAGGCACCTGGCTCCATCTGTGCCTCACTGACGCTTCCTGGTTTTGTTCCAGAGGATGATACTGAAGTCTGGGTCTGGGAGGAATTTTGAATGTTGTTCCACTCCATGCTTCACCTTTGGGAGCACCCCATCCCTAAATTATACCTAAGAGATGACGATTTCTTCCACTTGCATAACTTCCCTTGTCACTGGGCAAGCTTGTCGCCTTCTCAATTAGCAGACACTCCTGATAGCTAACTGAAACCCTTTCTGTGCAGCTTAAAAAAATTGTTTCACAGTCTTCCTAAACTCCTTATACTGCATTTCTTCCTAATCAAGGATAATTGAAAGGAGCTTGTGAGTCTTTCTGATGATTGGTGCCTGTTGGTTCTTATCTCTATATCCCCTCTATATGCTGGTCAACAAATGTCCAGGACATCGTGGCCCTTCAGAGTCTGAAGACTGCCAGCCACAGAATCGTACTTAGGAAATTCACTCTGATCCTCCTTTCAACAGTGTCCAGTCACCAGTAACAGTTGTAATGGTGATGCACTAAATTATCCAAATCCAAGTGGGAAAGGTTTTTGTCTTGCTTTTAGCTTTGTCATTTGTAGCCAAGTACCCTTGTGCCAACCTATGCTATAGGGCAACTAAGTACAAATTAAAAGCCAAGAGGGGGGCATTTTCATTTTGGAAGTAGATTTCTCTAATATGAGCTAAAGAATGCAATCACAGCCTGCAGATCATGAAATTCACATTACAGTGGTATCTCTTTCCATTATATTTTGCCACAAGAAATAAAATACTGAACTGAAAATAGGGAGAAGGTCCTTTATTGTCAGAAGTATTTTCATCCCTTTGTCTACATTACAGGGCTTCACCTGCTTTTTTATCCGGCAGCCTAGGTGTGTCTCTGTGCATGTTAGTGAGTAATCCTGTAAGGTACCGTATAACCTGGGTCTTTCATATCCCAACAAACACCTCTCCTATCACTGTTATCCTGGAATGAATAGGATGATTGTTGCTGCATAGAAAATCCCATGTAGCTGCCATACTCCCAAGTCCTTAACGATGTAGCAGTTGGTTTATTTGAGGAATCCCCCATGCTGACCTGAATTTGAATAGCTATACTGAATTTTCTTACATGTGACATTTGACATCTTTTACTAAATGTTGTAACTGTAATTTCTTTTAGAGGTATAGAAATTTGGTTTCTTTTTGTTTGTTTCTTTAACAGCTTTATTGAGATATAATTCATACAATTCATTCATCATAGTGTACTTCACATGGTCTTTAGAATGTTCACAGATATGTGCAACCATCACTGTCAGTGTTAGGACATTTTCCCCACCTCAAGAAGCTATAGCTCCCCCAACTCCCCTCCCCAAGAGTCTCCCTCCACCTCAGCCCTAAGAAACACCGACCTACTTTCTGTCTCTATAGATTACAAATTGGGTTTCACTGCAAAATATTCTATTTGATGAACCATCTAAAGTGGATATAAACTGAGATTCTGTAAGGTTGGTCTATCAAATATTGTAACTAAGCCAAATCATTCATGCCTGCTACCATTAAGTCTCCTGAGCTTCCCTTCTCCCCCTCTAAAGATATAATACTGTTTCCACTAGTCCACAAAGTAAAAAATGAACACTCTGTATCAAACTTGACATTTTTTTAAAGAAGAAAAAAGAAAAAGACAGTCTCAACAAACAAAGTCAACATTAGATAATTATGTCAGCTGTTACTGCCTACATGACTGCTGCCAGACGCTGCGGGCTGAAGGAGCCACCAGCACTGTATCCTCATTGTGAAACCTCTTCTTCCCTGCTACCCTTTTCATTCTTTTTGCCTATATTCATCTTTGCATGATGAATGTAAAGCAGAAAAAAAATTATTTTCTCTTCTTCCCTCCCTGGTTCTCTGGCTGGGACCCTAGAAATTAGACTGATAAAAGACAGGTTAAGAAGGAAAACAACTGAAGTTTATTAATATGTTCATTGTGCATATACAGGGGAGCATTTAGTGATGAATAACTCAAAGGGTACTTAGAACTTGCATATATATAGCATCTTCGCAAAATGACAGTGAACTTGTACAGAAGTGACAAGACAAAGAAAAAGGACTTTGAGTTTCCAGTGCAGCAAACTGTGGAAAAATAAATGGGGAAGCTAATGGCAGATATGTGCATGTGAGTCAGGTTTATTAGCACAGAGCCATTTCAGCATCAGCCCAATCTCCAGTGATAGGAATGTTCTCTTCCTGGTACAGGGAAGGGGGGACACCTTTACAAATTTATGTCTTGGTTTTAGGCAAATTGGAAGAGAGTAGAAAGCATTTCTTTATCTGCTTCTTCTCACTTGTCTTCAGCTCAAAATAATTCTTATGGAAACATAACACATTTTAGGGTAGCACATTCTGCTACTCTTAAATAGCATACCTTATCTTTGCACAAAATTTGAGTTTTTAAAGCATTTTCTCAAATCTCCCCTTAGCTGGTGTAGGCCAGTCACTAACATATGCAGCTTTTCAGAGCAGTAAAGTGAGGCTCAGATGAAATTTCATAATCAATATTTACTGAGCACTGAATAATAATCAGGTACCATGTAAGGGCTTGGATTTCAAGATCAATACAATGTAGTTGCTTCACCTGAAAAAGCTTGTGTGTCTCACTTATATTGGAATCTGAAAAATTGAATCAATCTTAATCTAAAAAACAGAAAACAGATTGAGGGTTCCCAGAGGTGAGGATTGAAGGGCCCCCACCCGTAAGATGGCAAACGTCCGGCTTCTCTTCTGGGTCCTCGGTTCCCGACGGCGCCACCTGAAGAACAATGACCTCTCTCCCCCCTCCCACTCCCAGCACCTAGCCAATAGCCACCAGCCCCGTAGAAGTGACACCTCAATCAGCTCATGCCCCTTCCTATATAACTCAGCACCTTTCCCTAATAAAGCGGAATTCTCCGGTGAATTGCTGCTGTGTGTCGCTCCTTTCCTTTCATTGGTGCCGAAACCTGGGAGACGGGACACCCCAACTGGGCCCCGTCTTCCCCCCGACACCAGCAGCAGCTTGCCCTCGTCCTCTTTTTCCGGCGCTGGCTCA